GGTCTTACCTTTCAATGGATAGCGAATGCAGTAATGGATTACTGAATAGCAATCAAATTAAACCACAATTAGTGCCAAACGTTAACTCAATGTACGGTTAACTCAAGTGAATGACACACACATGAGAGAGAAAATGGTTTATGTATTCACTATATTTGTAGATCAATACACTGTATTCCTAACCAATATATTCCACAAAAGTGGCGCAGCGTTTGTACTCATACTATGCGGCAGTTTTCGCAATACAGCGCTATTTCTACAGGAAATGCCAGCAAAAGTTTACGTACACTTTGCTCGACGCGTACGCAATAGCGTGAGTAGACTGTATGACACAACTGTTTTCTCTGGTGTTATGTTTTGATTTGAAAAAGTGCTCGGGTATCCGCCCGGGTATCTAAAACAGGCTCAGGTCAGCACTCTATCCATGTTTGACGACTCGACCGCCAAAGAAGATGGAGAGCTGAACGAGTCGACGACCGCATCGCCCGCCACTCCTATTCAGTACAATAAGGAGTCGTTTGTCGAGTATCCGGGCTTTAATACACCCGTTCCCGAAGGCATCAAAGATGTAATCGTCTCTCAATTATGTGTCAAATCCGTACTCATATTGTATTTTAATACAGCGCTATTTCTACAGGAAATGCCAGCAAAAGTTTACGTACACTTTGCTCGACGCGTACGCAATAGCGTGAGTAGACTGTATGACACAACTGTTTTCTCTGGTGTTATGTTTTGATTTGAAATAATCAGTGATTTGTTTGCGATTTTCATTTCATTCATTAAATTATGGTTTGATTTGTAATACAATTACTGCTGTTTTTTGGACACAAATATTATCATTAATTAAAACATATGGCAAAGTAAGTGATGTCTTCATTGATCATAACATACCCATCGCTTGTAATCCATTCCTCCTCTTCTCGCTCCGACCCATACGAAGACGTTATTTCGACGACTCGTCCAAAATCAAGGCCGGAGTCATCAGGTATGACATGAGTGGACGGCCAGAGAGGGCACGTGTCCGTAATTTTGTGATGCAATTTGTATGAACTAATGTACGGCTGATTTGGATCCGCTAGCGATGCGTTGAGGGAGGCGTTGGACGTACACGAAGACAAACTGCCGATTTGGATATACCGGATGCGAGTGCTCGGGTATCCGCCCGGGTATCTAAAACACTCCTATTCAGTACAATAAGGAGTCGTTTGTCGAGTATCCGGGCTTTAATACACCCGTTCCCGAAGGCATCAAAGATGTAATCGTCTCTCAATTATGTGTCAAATCCGTACTCATATTGTATTTTTTCGTTACCACTCTTTCTAAAGGATTGGTATATTCTTCGTATGCCTCCGATGTTAGAGCAGCAGCAGCTGAAGGAAGCGCTCAAGACTATGCACGTGACCGAACCCGTGCCTTATAAGCGTATGAAACAAGAGGCGCCCTCCACTTCAACACCAGTTCGGCCAAAAAATTCAAGTAAGTTTTAAATTAAATTTTTTTTTCTTTTTTGTATTCATTTTGTCTTTCATTTACGCAACAGAAGCTGAGGTTTCATCAAATGGTTGTGAAAAGGATGTGGAAGTGATTGGCGAACAATCAAAAGACAAATCATTGGACAGTTCGCTAAATTCATCCCCAGATTCTGTACAAATAATAAGCGATTCCGAGGTCAACACGAGCCAAGTCTTGGATGACTCGTCGGTTAAAGAGTCTTCGGATAACGATTTGACCAAATCATCGCTCAATGAGAGCACAGACAGCGCTAGAAGACTGAAACTAATCTCAATGGGGAGTCCA